AAGAAACAGAGAACTCGGAACAATTCGAGGGTGGAAGCAGGGAACATTTGCAAGGAATCCGGCAGGGCTGTGTGGGGCCAGCAGCCAGCCAGCAATCAGGGCGGCCACCCAGATGTGGCTGAGATAAAACAGCCAACCCCAGCACAGCTGCCTCTTGCCAGAGGAGGAAAAGGCATTTTCTTAGTGGGATGAAGGTGTTAGGGACCCATCAGATCAAAGGCAGGGACTTTCTAGGGAGGCTGGCAGAGAACGTGGGCTGGGCCCTGAGTGGGAAAGCCAAGGGATCTGAGGTATCAGTCACCATTGGGGATGATTCTGGAAGCCTCCCTCAGGCTCTGCAAGCTGCAGAAACCCCGAGCCAGGTAGGCACGGACACTGGCTGTGTTATTTAGGTTGGTAATAATATTAACGTAAGAAAACATTCAAAACTGTGAAGAATTTTTGTGAATTTATTTGAGCCAAACAATGGCCAGCTGCTGGGAGCCAGTACCTTAATGGGTTGAGATAATGCTCCGGGGAATGGCAGTTTTGCACCTCGCTTTATACGTCACAATCAAAGGGGGAGACGTAAGTGGGTTACACAGAATCCATTGTGATAGATTAGGGAGGTGGGAGAAAGCCAAGCAGGGAAACCTCGGGGACTGGGTAAAAAGTAAAACGATAGACACAGACTTCTTTTACGTGGGTGGGTACCGGATAGTTAACAAGATATCAATAACAATGAGAGGATACCTGGTCTTCGCCCCGTGCTTTGAGGGTCCGGAAAAAGGGGAAATGACTTTGTTTTGCAAAGTCCTGTGTTAATCAGGTATGTTATCTCAGATGCAAAAGACAAGCGACTGGCTTAGTTAAGGTGAAAATTAACCTCTGTTAGGGCAAAATACTGCCTTAGGGCATGACTACCCACCAGACTGCTTCTAGTTAAAAAGTTTTAATTTCAGACCACCCTTTGTGGTTATTTTATTTAATTTATTTATTTATTTAGTGTGGTTATTTTAGGTCTCTGAGTTTGCAAGGCCACCAGCAGGCCTGCTCTGAGCTTTTTAGGTTTAGGATATGGCCCGTTTGTCCACAATATGTACACTTCCTGAGTGGGCTAAGGTGAGTGTCCACCCACAGATCCCGCGTGTACCGAGTGCCTCTCACCATTCACCCCAAGTAAACTCTGCTGCAACTGGGGAGGGGGCTTGTGGGGTGAAAAGGGGC